AGGGGGGGGAAAAAAGTCGGAAAAAAAATATCGAATCGAAATGTAAAAAAAAAAAAAAAAAAACATTCATTCGTCGACCAATCGATGACACAAAAAAGTTATTTATAATTAATTATTTTTATTTATAATTATTTATTGAAAATATTCCCTTATCGGTTGACCGAGTACATCTTCCATTTTTTGTATGGCATTTTTCATTGCGTTTTCTACTCTTTCATCTTCGTCTTCTAACAATTCCGCGAGAGATCCGATGGTTTCGGGTAGGAGCATCAAATAATCATCTCCGAGTTTGGCAGCGACGGCAACGATCGTTTCCAAAGCTCCTATTCTCACTTGGGGAAGAATGCTTTTAGTTTTTAATATTATTTGATAATTTAAGGATTTCCATAGGGTGTCGTCCGTCGCGAGAGTCATTTGAGCCAAACACGGGGTCAAATAATTCAAAGTCCTTTTTTCCAATTCTTCGATTCCTCCCAAAGTGTTTTCAAGCTGTGGAAAAAAAAGCAAACGGGAGGGGGGGGGTCAATCGTTTAAATTATTTCTTTTATAAAATGCACGTGGCACCGGGGGGGAGGGAGGAAGGGGAGGGAAATTTTATCCTTACCTGATCGACGAGCGGATGAAGCAAAACTTCGAATTTATCCTTGTTTAAAAAATTACTGCTTTCCGTCGAATCGTACAAAAAAACCGAATGAAGGGTTTTCAATATGTTTTCTATCAAAATCCCGCATTTCCTCTCGCCGTCCCTCGATTTTTCGTAATAATTATTTTCCGTTTTCGATAAATTGGTCGCGTCCAAAAGATTTGCCGCTTTCTGAAGGAAATGACCCGCAAATAAAACGAACAAACCTTTTAAACTTTCCGCCAAAGAGTGAGTCAACCTGAAATCAAAGAATATTGTATACTGGAAAATCTTTTCGAGTTTTCTTTTTTTTTTTAACGTTTGGGGCGAAAAAATGATTACCTGAAGAAAGTTATAGAACGTTCTCGATGTTCGGACGCCCAGTGAAATATTTGATAGTATAAGGGTTTGAATAGAGATTCGGATAATTTTAAAACGAAAGGAACGAAAGCTTCGATGACGTTACTCTCGACTTTATCAATGTCTTCCTGAAAATTGTAAAAAAAAAAAAAAAAAAAAAATTTTTTTAAATTAGTTTTCCTCTCTCGACTTACTTTTTTTTTTTTACTTAAAGTACCAAAAACTAAAACTAAAACAATACTTGCCAATTTGACGTCTTTTAATTCGACTTCGCAATCGCTTCGGAAACTCAAAGCCGTTATAAATAATTGCGTCACTTCCGGTACAACTTTGGCAACGTCGGACAAAGAAGAAAAACTCGATGAAAGAGTCGAAAATAACGGGCCCGTGGCTTCGTATTCGCAATTATCGATTAATTTTTTATACGTACGACTTATGGCGGGTATTAAAATCCTGTGCTCGACGTTCGAACCTAATTTTGTCCTGCGAGTGGAAAATTTTGTTTTTTTTTTTATTAATATGATTTTATAGGTTTTTCGAACGACGGTAAAAAAAAAAAAATAATAATGATAATAATAAGTTACCTTATTTGAATTAATTTTTTCAACAAATCAACTTTGTCGTTTGCTCTTACGGACTGCACCGTGCATACGTTAAACAATATGCTCTCGAGGTAGGGACTGAGAAAATTTGGCATGACGTCAACCACCCTGTGTATGGCTAGAGTGACGCTATTCAAACCTAATTCGCTAAATCTGGTGGGAAGAAAGAAAAACGAAAGAATGATAAAATTATGAAGACGATGATGATGATGACGATGATGAAAAAACAACTTACTTTTTCGGATTACAATTTCTAGAAAATTCTTTCAACATTAAAGGCATGAAAGTGGGCAATTCGGAAACGGAATGAGCTCTTAAACAAGTCACGAGTTCGGCTACGGCCAACATGAGAGATCCAAACAGCGGACCCTCGATTTTATTCGATTTCAACGTTTTGCAGATTCCGATTAAAATCTGTAAAAAAAAAAAAAAAACGATCGATCGATCGTGAAATTTTATGAACCCGGTTTATGAACCGAAAAAACAAAAAAACGGAAACGAAACCTTTTTAAATTTTTCAGTGTGATCCGAACACAAAACTTTGGCCAACAATTTGAGAGTTAACAAAGCCGTTTGTTGAAGCATCAAATCCTGTTGTTCGATTTCCGTTCCGATCGTATTGATTATTTCGACGAGGGGTTCCAACAGGTTCAACAAACAATTTTTTTTCTTCGTCCGCGAATTCCTGTTGTTCTTGCTGAAGGAACGTGTTGGCCAAATCCAACGCTTTACGCCTGAGAGCTTTTACGGGATGATGCAACAATTTATTTATTATGCTTAAAAGCATTTCGTTGGGAACGAGCAAAACAAACTGGAAAAAAAATGGAGAATGAATGAATGAATGAATGAATGAATGAATGAGAAGGAATGAAAATCGGACAACTTGGCTTTCAGACAAACCTTGTCGAGAATTTCATAACATTGATGCAACATGGCTTTCCAAAATTTCGTTTGAAATTTATCGAATTGTTTTTTGACCAACGGAGTGTATTTCATAACGGCAGCGATCGTGTCTTTGAGTGCGTCTTCCAAACAGTTGTTACCATCATCATCATCATCATCATCATCTTTATTTGTTTCTTCGCTCACCTTTTACCATACACACACGGTTAATATTGATGATGATAATAATAATAATTAAATTAAATCCATTTTTCAATTAAAAAAAAAAAAAAAAAAAAAAACTTACTTGCATTATGAAATTATTATCGGCCAACAGCAAATTGAAATAAGTTAAAATGGTGTAACAGAAATGTCGGAGTTGTTTAGGAGTGTGTGAATCTATATCGAACAATCCGGAATTTTTTTCTTTTAGCCCATCAGTCAAAGTTTTTTGCATTCGGATTTCTTTGTGCACTGAAAAAAAAAAAAAAAAAACAAAAATTTTTGTCTTTTATTTTTTTACGAATTCGAGGGGAGGGAGGGGGGGGAGGGGGGAAAAAATGTAATAAAAATATTTTTACTTTTTTCCACAGGAAGTTTAATCAAATAATTGAAAATTTTCACGACGGATTCCAAGACGACGGTCGGAGAGGCTGACAAACACAATTCAAGTCCCAAACAGTGATTTATTGGCAAGTTGTTTGAATTTTCCAATTTGCTCGCATCATCTAACGTAAGAAAAAATAAAAAAAAAAAATTTTTTTTAAAAAATGATAATGAATAATAATAATAATAATTTTTTTTTTTTTTGCAGGATACCTTCTAGCACGTGATTTTCCAACAGAAGCATAATGAATATCCACAACGAATTTTCCGGTTTCAATGTCGTCAGCAATTGCAAAAACAAGGGTTTTCTCCGGTGCTGAGGAATGTCTTTCACCGCCCAAACGAAAACTCTTAATATTTCGGCTATGACGTTTTCCAAATCGTCATGTTCCGAACTGATGGCCTAAAAAAGGTGCGAGAAAAACAAAAACAAAATTATTATTATTATTATTATTTTTTAAACAAAATACTCGCACTAACGACAACGTTTTACTTGAACTAGAACGGGAACTACAGACTCCACGACTTGAGTGACAACTTTAACGCTGTACTCGTCATCCAAACGTGCCACCGAAGTACCCATAAACGTAAATATGGCCATTACGTTATGCATCACTTTTTTCTAAAAAAAAAAAAAAAACGAAAGAAAATTGATTGGTAAGAAGATATCGAGAGAAGAGACGGGGAGGGACAGGAAGGGGGAACATTTCGAATAAGAGTTCTTTTAATGAAAGGCAATCTTACGGGTATAACTGCCGACAGATACGAGAGCAACATGAGAGCGTGATGATGAGTTTGAGGATTCGGTGACGCGCGTAAACACTGAACGACCAATTCCACGTTTAAATTATTTTCGCTGACGTTTTCGCTGTCGTCCGTTGATATTTTCTTACAGCAGTCGAGTAAACATCCGAGCACGAGTTGTTTGGTGTATTCGAAACTCGTTTGTTCTTCTTGATCCAGGCAAAATTTCAATATGTCGAAGAGAGGTTTGATCAAAACGTTCGTGTTCAATAATTTCTTTTTCGATTGCATGAGTTCCAACAGGGATATTCCCTTTTTCCATTCTTTGGCTTCTATGATGAGCGGACTCGACGATTTCAAACTGTCCCTGTGAATTAAACGGAAAAACAACAAGCAATCAATCATCGTAATAAAATGTTCGGGAAATGATCTAATGTAGAAAACTACAAACTTTTTCTTTTGCGTTCCGGTAAACAAGTTCATCATTTGATTTATTATCGGCAATATTAATTCGCAGTCTAAAAATAATTTTTTCACAGTCGACGCGATGGCGGTCGCGACGGGTGACGATTCCGTTTCGGAACGAGTTTCAATCATGCATTCGACGAGTTGAAATCTTTTCTTGCGAGACAACTCGTCGAAAACTTCTCGGGTGATCTGAAATAATAATCAATGACGTGAGTTAGTAACACGTTATAAAGTTAATAATAAGTTAATAATAATTAACACTTGCGGATTTTAAAAACGAAACGGCCGGTGATACGCCCTCGCATTTTTCGTGTTTTATACTTTTCGTCGCCAATTCCCAAACGGATTCATCTTCCAAAACTTGACACGTTGTTTCGTTGATCCGTGACCAAAAATTGGACAAAATCATACGCGAGATTTCGCATTCTTTACTTTTTTCCAATGCTCTCTTTCCCAAAATCTTGAGTTCTTTTAATATTTCCTTTTTTTTAAAAAGAGAAAAAACAAATTAATTGGTCCATAATTATAAAATGAATGAATTTATAAGTTTTTATAGACTCACCACCGAATTAACGGAATCGAATAATTGCATGACGCCGAGGGAAACGTACATCGGAGTGTCTTCGGATGTGATGATTCGAAACAAAATTTCCCGAGTTTTTTTCAAAGTCGAAACGATCGAGGGAGGAAGCGTCGACTGCAAAGATTCCGACGGTGAAAGGGAACAATATAAAGCGACGCTGATTTGACTGTCGAAAAAAAAAAATTTGATTACAAAAACTTGATGCAGAACCTTTTTTTTCAATTCTTTTAAAATGATATTTTTTAAATTTCACCTTGGATCCAATGAAATTTCTTGGAATCTCGAAAGCAAACGATCGAGCAAAACGGAATCGGATGAAGATTTGTACTTTTTAAGAATGGCCGAGAGAGCTTGAAGAACGTTGAGGCAAGCCAATCGTATGGCTTTGGAATTGTTGCTTAATATGATGAGCAAATAACAAAGAATCAAACCGATTTCTACAAAAAACAAACAAATAAACAAACAAAATAATAATGATAATGATAATAAATAATGTACAGATTTAATAAAATTTCCAACGTTTGTGCGTTGTTGTCTTACCTGGCTTAAATGAATTGAATACTTTTTCGTCGTTGCTTTTCAATTGATTGTAGGAAATGTGCAGAGCGTAAATTTGTAAAAACGGTGATATTTCATGTTGGAAAACTTGTTTCGTTTGTTCCGGTGAACCGCAACAAACGGCACCCAAAAGTCTTACGAATTCTTGCTGACCCGAAGAAAAAGTCTGCAAAAAAAAAATTACAAAAATTTTTGTAGTTTATACCGAATAGACAAAAATCAAAAAAAATTATTTAGTGATGGAAAAAAAAAAAAATAAAAACCTTTGAAAATTCATGCAAAAGATTCGAATATTCATCGTGTGAATTGACGTCATTGTAAATCCCATCAAGAACGTATTCCAATATTCTTACTTTTAACCACGTGTCGGAATTTTTAGACGATAAATCGTACCATTTTATTTCCGATTTCTTATTACAACTCAAATAATTTATGAGAGATTTTATAATTTCGAAACGGATTTTAACTTTTTTCTTCTGAAAGTCATAAAGTAATCAATAAATCAAACGTGTTAAAGACGGGGAGAGGGGGAAGGAGGGGGGGAAATCCATACCTTTAAAGACGACAATATCGACATTAATTTCAACGCGTAAGTCGCATTGTAATCATCGAGCAAAGCCGCGAGCAAAACTTTTAAACCGAAACTCCACGTTTGACTACCCTCCGATATGTGATTCAGGTGTTTGAGTTCTTGAAGCGTCGCCAACCAAGGTTCGAAATCGATCGAATTTTCCGATCCTTTTTCCTGTTTTAAAAAATACGTTTCGATTGTTTTTATCACTCCCTGCGAGGGATTTTCTATAGGATAAAATACAAAAAAAAAAAAAAATTTTTTTTTATAAATGTTTACGTCATTTTCCCATCGCGTCATATTTTCATAACATTCGTTCACTCACTTGTGATGAGCTTATGAATTTCTTGTATGTGAGGATTGTTTTTACCAAATCTCGATTTGTGTATATTATTCAAATCGGATATGATTTCATCTTCGGATCCTTTCGATTGAAACAATTTATTCAAACATAATATCAACACCAAATTGTCGTAGAAAGGTGCAACTTTGCACAAAGCCTAAAAAAAAAAAAAAAAAAATTTTTTTTTTGTTATTTTTTTGTATTTTTTTTTTAATAACAAATAAAAATCTCTTGATAGTAGCAAATTGTTTTTTTTTTTACCTCAAAGGCAGCCACGTTTTTAATTTTATTCAATAGCAACGGCCTGAGTTCCATCCAAGCACTTTCCTTATTTTCTCCTTTGCATTTTTTTATCAAATCGACAAGAATGGATTCTTGAAAAGTCAATTCATCTGGAGTTTTCCATTTTTCTCTCAGCTCTTGACATTTTTTATCATTCTAAATACATATAACAAAAAAATTAATAAATAAATAAAGATAATTTTAACAAATTGATAAATATTATTATAATTTAAAAAAAAATTAAAACTTACATGATCATTATCGAGAATGTCTCTGTATTTTTCAATTGTTGATAACATGAGTTCTTTCATCCAATTAGACAAACTTGTATCTTGGTCTTCTCTTATATTCGATTTTAATTTTTCTAATAATGTCTTGTATTTAGAGTCTATTAACCTGTAAAAAAAAATTACAAATAAGTTTTTCTTTTCAATATATTTTACAATATTTAATTAGAAAATGATAATTAAATGTTTTTATTTACATACCAGAGTAAAGATTTACAGTGTTCAAGATCGCACATAACCTCTGTCGCTATTGTGTAACATAAAACTTGAGCTTCAACCACATCTCCTTCAGATTTAATAATATTATCCAAACAAGTTTCAACTATTTTCACAATCAATGGTCCCATTTGAAATCCTTCATTGGCCAAACCAGGCAATTCTTTATGAATTAAAAATAATTTACTGATAGAATTTTGTGGAAGATTGGGAATCGGTGTTTGAGTTTGATAAATTAACGTAAGTAGTAAAAGTTCGTCTTGATTTAACGTTTCATTTTCCTAAAAAGATACAAAAATTAAATTTTTTATCATAAAGACTAAAAAAAATATAAATTAATAAATATAAATAAATTAAAAATTACATTAATTATTATGTCGAGTAATTTATTTAACAAATCCTTTGTTATTTGATTGGATGCTACAAGTTGTCCAGCGACAATATAACCTGCAGCTTTAAAATCGATTAAATCGCTTGTTAAAGCTTTCATAAGCGAAGGTAAAATAATAGTCATATGATGATTATTAAAATCCTGACAAACTAAAACATTTGATATAACAGAAGAGAAAAAAGTCATACAAGTTCCTAATTTTTTAGCACTATCATATTTTTGATTTTCCTAAAATAAAAAAATTAATTAAAAGAATGCTCAAGATATAAAAACATTGATAAATTTAAAGACGAGAAAAAAAAAAAGTGTTAACACACCGATATTGTTTTTAAAGTTGTGTCGCAAATGAATCTTAAAAATGAAGAATCACTAATAGCATGATTGATTAAAACCGATTTGGGAAGATGAACACCTTCTTCTTTAACTTTAGAAAGCCAATTCCAATGAGCTGCATTTGAAGCTTTTAAATTAATCAACTGTAATATTTTAACAAATATTTTTGTTTGGTGATAAGGTAAAATTAATGCGATAAGATCATCTATATTAAAACTATGAATGTGAAATCTAAAAGCAGAAATTAACAAAAAAAAAAAAAAAAAATTATACTACTGTACATGTAAAAATACGAATAAAAAGAATAAAATGTAAACTTACCTATGAATTAACCATTCTAATGCTTTGTGACTTTGTTTAAGAAGCAAATAGGGAGATAATAACCTTAAAAATTTTTGAATATTTTTATCAAGGCTTTTATTATTTTCTTTAGATTCAATCGTTCTGGAATAAAATCTAGAAGACACATCAAATAATGTGTCATTAAATGTTTCAAAAGCAGGTTCTAAAACTATTAGTTCTTTAAGTCCATTTAAACCTATTTCAAAAAATGCATCTCTGTCTAAATTAGCCGCTTCAGCCGGAGTGAACAATAATGAACATTTCCTTCTTTTATCACTTTCCAGTGACGATTCAGGAAGTGCTAATTTCTTCAACTGTTGAGCCAAAGAAGTCGTCATTTTATGAGATCCCTTAAAAAATATTATTAATATAAGAACAAAATTTAAATTAAATTAAATCAGTCAGTCAGTTATAAAGGCACAATGCATTTTTTTCACACTTTCGAAAATTTTTCACACGTTAAATGTTTTTAAAGGGAAATTTTAAAAATTACGACGAAATGACTAAAATTATAACAAACCTTTTTGTAATGTAAATGAATTAAATAATAAGAAATAAACTATTACATTGTTAAATTTAATTCGTTATAAAACACGAGGTACAGTAGTGTGTTAAGACGTTCCCGCACGTGTTTTTAAAATATCGTGTCAATAGAAAAAAAATCTGCCAAAAAGAAATTTTTTTTTTCTTCCTGATATTAGAAAATTTAAATTCTAATAAAATTAATTATTAGTAAAATTTAGAAAAAAAAAAAAAAAAATTAAATTTATGTATTAATAAAATGATTACAACAACAAATAAATAATAAGCCAGAAAAAAATTTTTTAACAAATTTAATTAATTAATTTACAATAAATGAAGAAATATTGTGGCCCAAAATTAATAAAAAATTAGTTTTCAATACATTTATTTAATTATATCATATTCTAAGTGTAGCGTAAAAAATACCTTAAACAAAACTGAGATAAATATAGGATAAATATTAATTAAAAATAATAATAATATGGTTTAATTATAAAATAAATTTAAGTTAATATGTCAATTGTAACAAATTATTAAGTAAGCAATATTAATTAATAAAAAAATTTTTTTTTTTTTTTTTGGACTTAAAAAAAGAAGATTTGAGCATGTTTTTTTAATTTTTTAATAATTAAACCTGAGTTAACACAATTAGTAATAAAAAATGAGGAATATTAATAATAATAATGAAGAAATAGTAATACTTAAATAGTATTTAAGCATGCTCATGGTTATTGTTACATACATTCAAAAACGAAAATTGATTTTATGCTCAGACACACGTTTGAATATTTTTAAAGGCACTTTTATAATATACAAAAAAATTAATATGTCAAATCCTTATTATTTAAAGAAAATTAGTCTTATAAAAAAATGTAAAAAAAAATCACATGGACAGTTTTTAGGCCCAAAAAAAAAATTCAGACCATTATCCTCTTATACATTTCACATTGCCTTTCTCGGTTTTCTCTTTCTAACGTTTTTACTTTGATCTGAATTTTCTTCTTGCTTTTCATCAATTTCATTGTCATTTTGATCATCATTTTGATCATCTTCCTGTTCATTTCTATTTTCTCCTTCACCATCATTTTTTTTTAATAATTCTACATTGTCATCAATAATATCATCAACTTCATCCAACTGAAATTTCGATAAATAAATAATTAAGATAAAGCTTAAGAATATTTATTTTTTATTCTGCTAAATTTTAAATGAACACAAAAAATATTAAATTATGTGAAAATTACCTCTTCGATTTCTTCTTTCCCAGAAATTTTCGATTTAGCTGCCAAAGATTTTGGAGGATTTATGCAATCAATAATGCATACTAATATCAGTCCCAAAAAGGTACCAATTATAATGGTTAAAACGGCAAATATCAAATAACAGCTCCAAGCGGGCAAACCATATTCTTCTAACAAATAATTGTGGAAAGACTAAAAAGAAAAAATTAAACAATTGAAATGAAAATAAAATATCATTTATAAAATTCAAATACAAAAAATTTTAAGTTTTTTTTTTTTTTTTACTCTTAAAACTGTAGAGAGCTTAAAAAACCACGATAAGACAGATCTAAGGAATGACGAAGGTGATTGCCAACTTGGTATTGGTTCAATACTCGTCCATTTTTTGTCTTTAATAAAAGATATTAAAGCTTCTTTGTCTCTGCTGCCTTTATATTGTCTAAATTCACCCTTTATAACACTGTAAATGTAATAATAATAATAATAATGAAAAGTTAAAACAAAATAATTTTTTTTAAATAAGATTTTTTGTACATACTGATATATTGTAGGCAAAGCGGTGACCATAAATCTACCGCTTAAACCTGGTGATGTAGTGACATCAACTTGACCAACTTTGATTTTTAACATGGTATTGGCATTTGAAAAATCATTCCATACACGTTGAAGACTTTTGCACGCTGGGCACCAAGGAGCATAACTATACAAACAATAAGTTTTGTAATTTTTTAAAAAAATTACTTCAAAAATTGTGAATGTTAGGTATTTGGTTATTCTCAATTAAAATTAAAAACTATTCGATAGAATAATAGCTAATGGAAATTATTTATGCAAAATAAGATGGTTTTAGGTATTAACAAAAGAATTTTTGCTCAGTCAACCGTAAATAAATCAAATTCGGTGTATTTTTTTTTTAAATAACCCTCACAATAAAAAATTTTTGACAGACGCGTGACATCAATGAAAAGTTTTACTTACAATTCAACCATCCATTCTCCTTCTAACATATCACGCCAATTATCTTCATTTAAATTTACCAAATTTTGCTTTCCTTCAACATTTAATTGCGGTAATGTTAAAAATAATATGAGGTATTTTAAAAAACCAAACCACTCCAACGTCGCCATTATTAATGAACAGAATCAGTTATGCCACCATTCTTTTAACATTAACTAATTTATCTATAGGGCGCCACATGCAAAGTAAAAAAAATTTTGTTTTTATGTTTGTTGTTAAAGTACGTTATGTATTAAAATTATTTTTTAACCTGTTAACTAAAAATTAAATTGAAATTAAATTTAACAAACTGTTTTATGAGTTTTAATATTTTTTCACAGTAAAATAACGTGCCAAATAAGTTTTTTTTAAAACTAAAAAAAAAAAAGAAAATAAAGTAAAATTTTGATCCACAACAGTATTTTCAATTCAAGTCCCAAAATTGCATATTTTTTTTTTTACAAAGCATTTTTGGATTTTTATGGTCATATTATTAAAAATAATTAATATTTTAAATATTAAATAAAACATGAAAAAAAAAATTCGGCCAAAGACATTTGGACCTGCACAGCTCGAACTGCCAAAACTTACTCCTGAAGAAGAACAGCAGTTAGATTATGATGTTTGTTGTTGTATTGAAGAATTAGAAAATTTGCTTATTAAAAATCCTACTGAAAGACAAAAGAAATTGGCTGAAGTTTCTTTAAAAATTCTTAAAAATCCTAGTGAATCATTTATTAAAAAAAAACAAGTTATGAGACAACAGTTTGGTGATTATAGAAAAAAATTTGAAAATAAAAAAAAAGATGTTTTAACAAATCTCAATTGTAATAAAGCTTCGTTTAAAGCTCAAGACTCACATGCGAATTCAATTTTTGTGAAAAAATTTAAACATAAAAATATTAAAAATGACGAAAGCAAAAAAATTACAAATAATTTAAAATCAATTGAGCATGTAAAAGAAAACAATTTAGTTTGCAGTGATAACACATTTCATTTTTCTGCATCTGATAATTCTTTTAGATTTAATTTTTAAAAAATTATTTAATACCGAATAAAACTATAATGATATTACAAATTTGTAAAAATACAAAAATAATAAATATGTGGTAAAAATTTAAAAACATTTTATATACATTCATATTTAAAAAATGCTAAAAAAAAATAAAATCAATAGATAGATAAATTTTTATAACAGAGTAATCTTACTTTTTTCAATTTTGATTTTTTTTTTTTTTTGAATCTTCAATCTTCATGCTTTCTTTTTCATCTGTAAAATATTTAAAATCAATATGACGAAAACAAAAAAAGTAATATTTCAAACAATTTTATAATAGGTCTGAAATAAAATAAAAAGATTGTATTAATAAAAGTAATTCTATTTTTAATTGTTTTAGTTTTACAAAATATTTTTATTTTTTTATCATGATATTGTTATTATATTTTTAAAAATGAAACCTACTAAAAATTTTTTTTTATGTGAAACTTACATTTAAAGACTAAAATTTTTTTGTTAATAATTCAATTTCATTTATTCACTGTTTGGAAGGCAATCGCTTAAAATTGCTAAAATAATAAATTTAATATTAGTATAAAATTTTTACAAGGATAAGTAAATAAATATTATATATATAATTTATATTATATAATATATTATATTAATATATATTATTATATTATATTATAGTATATATAATATAATAATATATAATATAATATATATTATTATATATTAATATATTATATTATTATATATTATAATATATAATAATATAATATATAATAATATAGTATATATTATATAATATTATAAAAATAATATAAAAATATTATTATAAAAAAAAAACTAAAACCATAAATTTTTCTTTACAAATTTCCGAAAAAAAGATTTATAAAAATGTTTACCTTATTATTATTAGCAAATATTATTAGCAATAGCATTTTTAACAAATTGTACAAAAATTATAAATTTATTAATATCTCTCACCTCTATGAATAATTTTTTCTCCTGTAAAAAAAAAAAAAAAAAAAAAAAAAAAATATAAAAATTATCGAGGACTTAAAACTTTTAAAAATTATCTGAATTTAGTTTGGCTGTGTTACTTTAAAATTACCAGTTAAAAAGCTGATTGATTTATCTAAAACATTTCCAAATATTGTATTACAATAAATTACACCAGCCAAAATGCCAGCTAAATGCCCCATGAAAGAAGAGTTAGGTACTAATAAATGAATTAGTATTAATTCAATCCAAGCTGCATATTTTCCAGGAATTTGTACTCCCACTAATGTGGCTCTTAAACTTGGTTCTTCGTGAGTTGTCAAAACTTTAAGTGCAAAAATTACACCTAAAACAAAAAAAATATTACATTTACATTAATTATTAAAATAATCGAAATAAATAAAAATATATTAAATAAATTATGAAATGAAAAAGAACCAGAGAATCCTATGGCACAAGATTTCATATAAGAATCATTTTCGAAAACTTCGCTCATTGCTTGAGCTAGTAAAACATAAATTCCACTCGTAAGAATAGTTAAAAAAATTAAAATTATGGCAAAACATTTGCTTCCATATCTTTTTTCTAATGATCTTCCTTTTATTAAAAAAGAAGCCATATTGTAGTATAAATGCATATCATCTCCGTGCTCTAAAGCTGATAAAAATAATCTTTTCCAGTCCTTTAATTTTAGAATGCCATTACCACTCAAACACACATCTTCTTTGTCCCAGGGCACATTTATAAAACCCATATAAAGTAAAGTCTGAAAAAAGTTGACTTATTTGACAGTAAAATAAAACAGATGGAAAGACGCATTAGCGTGGGTGTTCAACCGTAAAATAAGAAAAAAATTGAATTTATTACATTTAATAAAAAAAACTTACCTGTCCCACAATTGATCCCAATGTAATTGGTGGTATATTTTTCATACCGAATTGTAATAATTCATTTAAAAGCAATATCAATCCTAACTCGATGCCGTGTCTTCTTCGTCTTGGAGGCATATTAATTCATAAATTAAATGAATACTTTTAAATATTAAATAAACTTTGTTAAAAAGCAAATTTTAATATTTTTTAAATCTTTTAAACATTAAAAAAAATTACTTTCAATTTAGTGTATAAAAAAAAAACATTTTATAAATACCATATGCCAATATACATCAACATTAGAATTAGTAAATGACACAAAATTTTTTTTTATTTGTAACATTTAAATTATTTAAATACTTAAAAAGATTTTTTTTAAACTTAAATTATTTTTTTATAAACTTTTTAAAATAATTTTTTCTTTTTAAAATAGTTTTAACACCGTAAACGCAATAATTTTGATATTTTAAGTTTAGAAAAAAGTTGAATGATGTAAGATTGGCGCAAATTATGACATTTGTACTGCCAACTGAAATTTAAAAAAATTTTAACGTGGTAGGAGAATTTTTCAGAAATTGCTATACGACATTTTTTTAATGGCGACTCGTGCCATTTTGTAATTTTAATTAGTGATCTTTTTTATTTAATTTATCTTTGGGATTAAAATTTATATTTAATGTCTTTATTTAGGTATTTATATATTATTTAATAAAATTTGTAACGTACTTAATGCAATTAATATTTTATTTTAAATAATAATGAAAGATTTTTACAAACAATAACGACTGAAGTGTAAACAGAAGCCTGAAAATAAAATTGTTTTCTTGTTTAAAATTTCGAAAATGTGACAAGTAGCAATATAATAGAATTACATATCTTATTATCAAGGTTAAGTAAATTTTTAATTTTTGTTTTTATAGTGTTTTACCCCCTCCCATTCAAACCGTGTGGGATAGGGATGAAGAAAGAGCCAAAACTGCTACTATTAGACCTGCTAGTGCTTTGGTAACTGCTTTACCTACGGCACCTCCTTACGGTTCAAGAGCAGGATGGGTTCCTCGAACGGTCGAAGTATGTATAGAGAACTGTGTATATATATTAAAATTTATTAATTGTCTACCTACAATTGAATTTGCATATGCCTTGTTCTAGGACTTTGGAGATGGAGGTGCGTTCCCAGAAATTCCTGTTGCCCAATATCCTTTGGATATGGGCAAGAAAGGTCATGAAAGTACATCAAATGCATTGGCTCTTCAATTAGACAATCAAGGAAAAATTAAATATGATGTGATAGCAAGACAAGGACATTCTAAAGATAAAGTAAGTGCACTATAAATTTCTGTCATTTTCTTTTCTTTTTTTAACTATTATTGTTTTTTTTAGGTGGTATATTCAAAACTATCAGATTTGTTGCCTTCTGAAGTACTTGCAGAAGGAGATGCTAGTTTGGAAAAACCTTCCGAGGAAGAAATACAAGAGACTGCTGAAAGAACAAAACATGCTTTAGAAAAAATAACAAACTCTAAAATAGCTGCTGCCATGCCAGTACGTTGTGCAGACAAAACTGGTCCTGCTCAGTTTATACGTTACACTCCATCACAACAGGGTGTAGCATTCAATTCAGGAGCGAAACAAAGAGTTATTAGAATGGTCGAAGCTCAAAAAGATCCCATGGAACCTCCTAAATTCAAGTAAAATTTCACAAAAATAATTTTTTATTTTTTTAAAAATAATCTTGCTAAAGAAAATTATTATATTTTTGCTCAGGATAAATAAGAAAATTCCTAGAGGACCACCTTCGCCACCTGCTCCTGTCATGCACTCACCTACTAGAAAAGTAACAGTAAAGGAACAGAAAGAGTGGAAAATACCTCCGTGTATATCAAACTGGAAAAATGCAAAAGTAATTTTATTTATAATGACTTATTGAAAAAAATTTACATTTTTTAAAAAAGCATCTTTTCCTTTTTAAAATATGAAGCCTAAATATAAACTGTAACTTATATTTAATTTTTCACTCTAGGGTTATACTATTCCACTAGACAAAAGGTTGGCCGCTGACGGAAGAGGACTACAGCAACTCCACATTAGTGAAAATTTTGCAAAATTAGCTGAAGCATTATACATAGCTGACAGAAAGGTAACGAAAAAAAAAAAAAAAAATTTAAACATTTTTTTCACAGTGGTCCGTCCCCTTTTGTTTTAAAATTTTGTTAAATTTTAAATAAAATTACAGGCTCGTGACGCAGTTGAAATGAGAGCTCAACTTGAGAAAAAATTGGCGCAAAAAGAAAAGGAAAAGAAGGAAGAACATTTGCGACAACTCGCTCAGAAGGCTAGGGAAGAGAGAGCTGGAATCAGAACAGCAGCAGCAATTGGTAAATTATTTTTAATTATTGTTTAAAATGGTAATAATAACAAAAAATTATCAAAACATAATCATAATTATTTATAAATTTAATACAGAAAAAGATGAAGAAGTTCGAGAAAGAGATCAAATGCGTTATGAGCGTCATAAGGAAAGAGCCAGGGATCGTAATTTGGCTAGAGCTGCACCCGACAAAAGGTACGAATCTCAAAATTTAATTTTCGCCATCATTTTTAAGACTCTTGTTTATTACGTAATATTTTTATATTTCAGGACCAAATTGCAGAAGGAAAGAGAAAGAGATATATCGGAGCAAATCGCTCTCGGATTACCTGCTAAAAATATTTCATCGGAAACTCAATTCGACCAACGATTGTTCAACACGTCCAAAGGAATGGACTCAGGGTATGGTGACGACTCCAGTTACAATGTTTACGACAAACCTTGGCGCGGTGGGGCTTCGATTGGTCAGCACATATATCGGCCATCTAAGAACGTTGATAAAGATATATACGGAGATGACATTGACAAAATCATTAAAACTAACAGGTATTTTTATTACTCCATTAATTTTTTTTTTTCTCCACAAATTTAATTTTTAACTCGCTACTCAATTTTTTTTTTTTTTTTTTTTTTGCAGATTTGTTCCCGATAAAGAATTTAGCGGTACCGATCGCAATGCTACTCGTTCGGGTCCTGTACAATTTGAGAAAGAAAAAGAAGAAGATCCGTTCGGTTTAGATCAGTTCTTGAATCAAGCTAAACGTTCGAGTAAAAGACAAGCAAAAGACGATAGGCGTGACGACAGAGATAAACGAAAAAGAAAAGATTAAAACAAAAAACAAATGAATGCTCGACCGGAAATGACGTCATTTTTAGTTTTTTTTTTCTTTCACATTTATTTTTAATATTGTATTCTGTTCATTTTGTACGACTGAAAGGAAATTCAATTCCGATTTGGCGCTTGAACTTATCAATAATTTTAAAATAATAAGAATTTAGTTTAATAAAGTAATCAAAACATTCAAACATTCTTATGTAAGAAGAAAACTTGATTCAATATTTAATAAATTGTTTTTTTTTTTTTTTTTGAATATGAATTTTAAATTCTTTATACCTCAATTTACGGAGAAATATTTTTAAATCGAGAAAATTTTAAAAGGCAGAACTTGAATATACATTTGAAAATGTATTGAAAATTCTAATAATTTTAAGATGTTGAATAATTTTAACTAAAATTGTTGGATTTACATAAAATAAGTTAAAATAAAAACAATACCTGACAACAACATAAATGTAAATGGGTATAATTCATTGTTAGTTTTTTTTATTTAATTAAAATTAAATATAATATTGATATAAGTTATTAATTTATTTTAAAACCTTACCTTTAAGATTAACCAATTCTTCACTTTTTTCCCATAGAGCAGATTGAATTTTTGGATCAAAATTCGTTTTCGATTTGTATTCCTTACAATTTCTGTAGAAATTTCCAGAAACTCCCTTTAAACTTTTATCACATGCACAAAGTAATACAGTTTGAGCTCCCTAAAAAAAAAAAAAAAAAGATTCATTTAACATGATGACAATATTAAAAATTAAATTAAAATTTAATTGGATTTTAATTTTTTATACCTGCCAAGAAGTTCTTAAAAATAATAATGCTATAGGCATAAACATAATGTATTGCCACCATTTGATATCACTATATCTGAATAATCCAGTGTAAGTAAAGCCAGGACAAACAGCATAAACATCCACTCCAGTATTTTTAAGTCTAGAAGCAAGTTCTCTGAAACAATAAAAAAAATTTAAACTTAATCTTTTTTTTTTTCAAATATCCATTCTGTATATTTAAATTATTATTCTTACCTGCTGTGATACATATTAGCAAGTTTGGAAGCACAATATGCAGGATTATTTCTCAACTTCTTTACAGAATCCATATTTTTAGTCATGTTTAAATCGTTTAAATCGAGTACTCCACTTTCATGAAGAGTCGATGATACAATTACTATCCTACAAGAAACGAAACAAAAAGATAAGTGATTGTAAAAAAAATAAAAGTTAAAAGATATTTTATTATATGCTGAACAAGAAACAAGCCTACAAAATCAATTACCTGCTTGGAGCAGAATCTTTGATTCTCTCTATAAGTAGTTGTGTGAGAAGAAAATGACCCAAATGATTAATTCCGAAATTCATTTCGAAGCCATCTTTTGTTTTTTGGGATTGTGAAAGTGGAAAATAAACTCCAGCATTATTAATTAATACATCAATTTTTGGAAACTTTTCAAGAGCCTTCTCAGAAAAATCTTTAATTGATGCAAATGAAGCTAAATCTAAATGCATAGGAACCTATTATATTAATAATTTTTATTAAAAATTTTCAGTATTCAAACAGTATAAACAGTATTAAAAAAAATCAAAAAATGCTTACTAATTCTCCAGAAGTTGTTGTTTTTCTTATATCATTAATGGCCAAATTTGCATTGTTTAAATCCCTGCAAGCCATTATAACACAAGCATTTCGTTTTGCTAATTCTCTGGCAGTTTCTTTACCGATACCGGAGTTAGAACCAGTTATTAAAAACACTTTACCGTCCAAAGATGAATAATCTTTAAATCGGCCCCATGAAATTTCTCTTAATTTTCTAATTATACCGAGAACAACTGCGACGGGAAATGCCACGTACATAAATGTGTTTACCATTTTGACTAGAATCAAAATATGATAAATTTTTATTGAAAAAAAAAAAAAATTTAAGTCCTCTTTAAACTATCACTAAATAACGAAATTCATGATTGAGCAGAGTGAAAAATCAGGAGTGCCAACAAAATTTTAATAATGTAAATTTACCTGATATTTACCTATTTAAAACTTTAAATTTAAAACATTTATTTGCAAAAAAATCAAGAATTGTAAATTCAATAAAACAGTAATGATATATTTCAAATAAATAATATATAAATTATTATATTTTTACTAATACATTTTTTTTGTAACTATATCGAAAATTAAAAAAAATTTTATTTTCAACGGTTGTCATCTTGCAGTTTTGGTGGAAAATAAAGATTTATTGAAAGACGCGTTGTAAGCTACTTAATAGCTTTTAAATTTATAAATATGACTGATCGCTGGAAAAATATAAAAAATTTAGGGTTTGAAAAACAGCTAATAAATCGGCAATACAATGAAAAGTGTAAGTTTCATTTATTTTTAAGATAGAATAATATATTTTGTATTTAGGTAGTTTTTAGTTTATTAAAACTACCTGTTAAGTAAATATAAAGCGAAATTAACTTTTATTGAATTAATTTTCCAATAAGTTTGCCAATTTAAATGCTACTAATGTATAAAAATACACAAATTGAAAAATGAAATAATTACTGTTTTATATTTATCAAAATTTTATTTATCTTTTCCATTTGTAAGTGAACTCTTTGACAAGAATGTCAACATTTTATTTGATTAGTTTTATATTTTTTTTTTTTAGGGAAATTTAATTATTACGACTCATTAATTAAAAAAATGCAATGTGTTGAAGTATTTTCTTTTTATAATAATTCAATATCATCTCCTACTGAAAATGTAGATGTTCCAATATCTACTTGTAAATTTTCCAATACCCATCTAGATCTTTTAGCTGTGTCTAATGAAAATGGAATTGTTCGTGTACAAAATACAAAAAATTTTAAAGATTACAAATGTGTACAAAGTCATAAAAATACAGTTTATGATATAGCATGGATGCCTGAAAGTTCAAAGTTTGTAACTGTCAGTGGAGATAACTCTGCTAAACTATGGGATTGCACAGAATCAAATATAAACTTAACTTCAGTGTTTAGAGGCCATAAAAGAAGTGTTAGATGTGTTACTTTTAAGCCAGAAAATACAGGTAAAACTAACAATAGTTTTACTTTTTACTTTTTTTTTTTTTTTTTAATGAAAGATGAAATTCTAAATAAACGAAAAAAACTTTAAATTATCAAAAAAAAAAAAAATCGAGTTAAAATTGATTTTTTTTTAAAGTCATCGAGTAATGATTGAAATTAATTTTTTTTTATTTTTATGGTAGCTGTATTTGCAACTGGATCAAGAGATGGATCATTAATGATTTGGGATACTAGAGCACAAATAAAATGTGCCAAATTTTCTCACCATTTACCCGATCAAATAATCTCATCTGGTGCAGGGTCCCCACAATGTAATGCCAAGTTAAATACTAAAAAGTCAATGTGTTCAACTGAATTAGTAAATTGTAAAAGCGTTACTGGGCTTGTATTTCAAAATGACTATAACTTAATTTCATGTGGTTCATTAGACAAGTAAGCTTTTATATATATATATATTTTTTCCAATCCTTTTCTTAGCAAATAAAATAATAATCAAATGTAATTTTATTTTAGTGTTATTAGAATTTGGGATATGCGAAAAACATATTCGAGATCAATTACAAATACAATAGCCAAACATCAGTTGCATTCTCCTTATTCTGGGTTTTCTTATTTGTGTATGAATACAATGGGTACTAAATTGTATGCTAATTGTATGGATTCTTACATCTACTGCTTTGACATTTGTTCTTATGATTCTGAACCTGGTAAGTTTAGTACTTGCTTTCTAATTTAAAAAAAAAAAAAAAAAAATATTTACCGATTAATTCCCTTTTTAGTTGCAGCATTTTATGGTCATGAAAATGGATCATTTTATATAAAATCAAGTTTAAGCTACAATGGAAATTATTTATTGTCTGGTTCTTCTGATGATTGTGCATATATTTGGAACACTGCTTCAGCAGAGTATTCCGAAACAGCAATAAAGCCTTTTGTTACCTTGAATTCTCATTTTGCCGAAGTAACTTGTGTAGAAATGTCTGCTGATAATATGATTGTAAGTTAACAAACACTTTTTTTTCAATTAAATTAAATTATTCATCACAATACATTAATTACTATTTTTCTTTTAGATTGTGACATGTTCGGATGACGGCACATTTAGACTGTGGGATGCCTATAACAAGTTGAAAGATAATGAAAGAAAACTAGAATTAGCCGTTCCTTACGAAAACGAAAACGTTTCCACGGTTAAAACAAAATGGAGAAACAAAAGAAAATACGAAACGTTAAATTTTCCGAATGAAATTCAAACGAAAAATGACAATGAATTACCACATTCGAAAATTTGTCGATTTTATAACGTGAATTTCTCATCCACTTGTCTTTGTCAAAATAAAAGTGAATCGAAAAAGGGATGTAAAAGACTTTGCGAGGATTCTCCCTCGTGTTCGAACTCTTCAAAAAGAAAATTTATATTCTCGGCTCAGGAACGCACTCCACCACCGAATCAGGAGAAAGGAAAAGTGATGATTTTAAAAGGGCTCGAATGTAATTCGACGGTTAATCAAAAATCTTTGTCGCCCGTTAAATTATCATCAAAGAGAAAATTAGAAGACATGCCGAGTTTTATAGAGGAATGCAATAAAAGTAAAAAAATTAACATGAATAAAATTTTAACTCCGTCGAACGTTTTAGAATGTAAAAATAAAGAAATCAGTGAAACAGGAGGGAAGCATAAAAATTCTAAATCGCAATTCGAAAAAGTTTTAAAAGAAAATAATTTGCCGAATGAAAACAACAGCGATAAAAGTAGCGTACCCATGGGTCTATCATCACCGACGTCAAATTTACCCAATTACGTAGAAGATGGAACCTCTCCGTACATTCACAGATGTAGGAAAACGGGACAAAAAGAAAACGACTGGCTTTCAAAACTTAAAGAGAGTTACAAGAGTGAAAAAAATATAACGGAAAAGAAAATAATTGTAAATGCGTTGAAAAATGTCGAACGAAAAAAAAAGAGTAAAAATGGTGAAGCGTCGACATTGCATAAATATTTTAAAGTGTCGAGTAAAACAATGGAAAGAAATTTTAACATGACAGATATTCAAAAAAAAACAATTTTAATCAAATAAAAATTTTAATAATTTTCCAAAAGCCCCCATTTTTATTTTTATTTTAATAAATAAGAGGAAAAAGAAAAGAAAAGAAAAACAAGACAAACCAAGACACCAAGAGAAAATTTTTTTTTAAGCAAAAGAAAATGTTGAAAATTTTCCTTTTTTTTTTTTTTTTGTTTTAATTGTAAATAAAGCATAAAAATTAATTTAAAAAAAAAAAAATTTAATTTTATATTGAGTATTTTAAATAAATATTAAGATTATTGTGTGTTCAATTAATTGTACTTTTTCCACTTTTTTTAATTAGACTTGCTAATTTATTGTGTAATTTTTTTAAAAGGCTGAAATATATTTTTTTATAATTTGTAAATGAAACAAAAAATTAAATTTACAATTTAAATAAATAATAAATAAATATTTTCAAATTAAAAAATGTTTGTTTTCATTTTTTTAAAAAAAAAAAACAAAATTCCCTGTAAATATATATTAATATAATTTCTAAGTACGTCTACTTAAACATACATATTAAATTTAAGTCTTTAGAAAGTATCAGTCTAAAAAGTATTTTTTTTAGCAATTCGATTTGAAAAAAAAAAAAAAAAAAGAAAATTTTTTAAATAGTTCTAACTACAAATACTTAAATCAACTTATCTTTTTTTTATGTATGTATACATATATATCAGTCTTCTTTTCAAACTAGATTTGTATTTAATAATTCCTCAATCGACAAATTCATTCATTTGACATTCGTTTCTTCCACTTCTTTGATACTGCCTAAAAAAAAAAATAAATAATATTTTCATACGGTTGCAAGATAAAAAAAGAAAAAAAATTGTGTGGATTTATTAGTCCAGTGCATTAATTAACCAAACTACAGCATTTGGTAAAATTATCTAATTTATGACTACAAGCAATGTAGGCCATCATCATACCTTTAAATATGAACTAAAAAAACTTGTTTTGGAATAACCGATTTTGAAATTTGTCGAGTTAGAGCATTATTATTTTTCGAAGTAAGTTCTACCAATTCTGCAGAAATAAATTTTTATTTCTCATTTTTTAAATTTGCCTTTTTGTTTTATTATTTTATCTTGTTGTTACTCGAATAATTCTTACATGGTGATATAAAAATTTTAAAGAAATTACCTGTTGATTCTTCTTCATCATTGGAATCATCTTTTTTCAATAAATTTAATGTTATTTTATCTCTAAATATTCTCGAGTAGTATCTTGTATTAGCTTCATTACCAAATAAATGATACCAAGATAAAAGTAATATGAAAAGAATTAAAAATAAATTAATTCCAACACCGAAAATTGCAGAAATAATCGGCCAATGAAACATTAAATATCTAAGGCCGGTGAAGTGAGCTTGGATTTGCATCGATGATGAATATAACTCTATTTTTTTCGTTTTAATTTCAACATACATATCAGTTACTGGAATATTCTGCAAAAATATACACAATAATTTTTTTTTTTTAAATTTAAAAATAGGCTAATTGGCTTATTTGTCAAAATGTTTAAGTATTAACCTCATTTTCTCTAAAATCTGAAAACATTTCAACTTGTACAATTTGTTTTTCTTCAGATGTACCAAATACGAGCATGGGTGAAAAAACTAATGTTTTTATTATAGTTAGTAATTTACTCCTATAATGAAGCATGACTGGCCTACAAGAATGACCAACTAGTTCTCCATTTTGACCATTTAATTCTAAACAAACCATAAACATTCCTAAATTTTTATTCGCTTCCGATTCTGGCATTTCAAAAGACAAAAAAATTTTATAACTTTGGCCAACCATTAAAAAATTTTGCCTTTTTGTTAATGGAATATGAGTTGCTGGAAAGCTGCATATAGAACTTTCAGGATTATCACATGTTCTGAAATATTTAAATTTTACTTTTAGTGTTTTACTAATAATAAACATTGAGTTAAGTCTTGTAAAAATTTTTTCACTTACTTAAATTGAAGATGTACTGGCCTAACATGAGTTAAAGCAGGCATATATGTATAATAAAATGCAATGTAAATAAATATAGCTAGCCATAATATAATACCGATAGTTAGAATAAATATGCCTCCTCGAAGAGCTGTCCCTTTAACTTTTTTAATTTTTTTATTACCGCTGTCTTTAATTTCTTCTATTCTATTATTCATGTAATGAACACCAGGTAACATGAACATTATTTTTCTGAAAGGTGTCAAAGTTCCTTTCAATATATTATATAATGAAATCATTGTGAATAAAAATAATTTGTATTAAATTAAACGGAAATATACATACGTTATCGCGGATACAACAAAAGCAACTGATAAAGGCTGTAAACAAAGATTGTCCTGACATTTCCGGTCGCAGCAATGAATTTTTAAACCTTGACATCGACATGACCTTGATACGAAAATGCCTCCGTTATTATATACGCGTACAGACGGCTTTGTAAAATCGAAAAAATATATCGTACCGATATGGTTTCCACCGTTACAGAAACAATAACACAGTGCCTAGAAGCTCAGGTGATAATTTATTTCTAATATGAAATATATAATTTAATTTTACTTATAAAATTATATTTATATAAAATCAGGTCGAAGAAATTGAAGTTTTGCGTTCCATTTATTCTGACGAATGGAAAACAGAAAATGAAGCTGATAGATCATACAGTATTGATATCCAACACGAGGACTTTAAAATTACTCTTTACGTTACATTACCTGAAAATTACCCTAGCGAATCACCTCCAACCTATACACTTTTGGCGCCTAATTTAACCCGTCATCAAAAAAATCAATTGTCAAATTTGTTAGATGAAGTTTATTTGTTAGTTTTTATATTTAAGTTGTAGAAAACACAATCCAAATTATTATTATTTTTAAAAAATTTAAATTTTTAGAAAAAATATTGGTCAAGCTGTACTATTTCAATGGATTGATAAAATCAAAGAATACATATCATCATTAGAAGCCAACACAGATGAAATTTTAGAAAATTCATCTCAAGTTGATGTAGAGGAAATGATGAAAACTCCATTGATTACATGATTCTAGTTTAGACTTAACTGGTGTTACTCATGGAGAGCAAATTATAGACAGGAAAAGTGTATTCCAAGGACATGCCGCAATTGTTTTTTCAACCGATGAAGTCAGGTTAGCCTTGTTTAATTTAGGACATGTAAACATTTATGTTAAAAAAAAAAAACAGGCCAAAAAATTTTGTTTCTTTTTTTTTTTTTTTTTCATGTAGGCATGTAATAAATGAATTAAAGAAAAATAAAAAAATTGCCAAAGCGACACATAATATGTATGCTTATAGAATAGTTAATAACAATAACACATTCATTCAAGATTGTGATGATGACGGAGAAAGTAATGCTGGTGGTAGATTATTGCATCTGTTACAAGTCAGTAATCAATTAATATCGTAATTTTTATTTTGACATGAAATTAAAATCAATTAGCATGTTTAAAAATAATTTTACTGTTACTATTTATCTTACATTTTCCTTTTAAAAAAAAAAAAAAAACTAATTTATGACTTTTTTTCTTTATTTAGTTTTATGAGTGATTTTTTTTTTTTTTTTTTTTTTAATAGATTTTAAATGTAAAAAATGTATTAGTAGTGGTATCTAGATGGTATGGTAGAATACATTTGGGTCCAGTGAGATTTCGACACATAAATAATGCTGCCAGACAAGTTTTAGAACAGAGTGGAATATTAAAGGAAGGTAAAAAGCAAAATTAAAAATTTGCTAAATTTGATAATGTACAATAAAAAGTTACTTTATAAAAACATTTGAAAATGGTGTGTATTTTTTTTTTTTTTTTATAAAAGTTTTATAATTTATAATATTTGTAAATATTTCAAAATTGAATTTATTTTTTTAATTTTTGTAAAAAAAATTTTGTTGTTATTTTAAAATTTTTAAGCCTGTTAAATATTTAAAAAAAATATCTTAAAAGATTATTTTATATTATTGTTAGTGTATTTATTTTTTTGTCAGAGCATTAATAAAATTTTTTTTTTTTTGTTTAAACTATTATTTTTGTTTGTTGTTAACACAAACATTAAAAAATTTTTTTTGGGGTTTGGTGGAAAACATTTAAATGAAATAATAAATCTTGCAAAAAAAAACTATTAAATTAAAAAAAAAATAAATTTATTTATCTTGTTTTGTTAATGTTTTTCATTTAAGTGATAATATATATTTTAAACCTAAAACCTTAAAAGAAATATTTATATATTTAAAAACCTTGAAATTACAAAATAAGAGAAATATACAAAAAAAATAAAACGAATATAATAAATTTTCTTTTTTTTTTTTTTTTGCAAAACTAGCAGATTTTATTTACAAGTCAAGAAACAAAAAAAAAAAATTATCTTTTTTGTATTTAATGCCCCCCACCTTAATTCAATTTTTTTCTTCTTTCTTTCTTTTACCTGAAAATGAAATAAAAGAAAAGAAAGAAAAAAAAAATCAGCAGTTTTTTTTTTTTTTTAAATTTCCATTAATAATTAAAAAAAATTTTTTTTTTTTTTTATCCCCAGTAGAAAATAAAATGGGGGAAGGAGGGAAGAAGGAAGGAAGGGGGAAGAAAAAAAGGTTATGATAATAATAATAATAATGATTACGATTTTGCAATGGTTCGCATAAATTGAAAATGAAAAGATGAACTCAAAGAACTTCATCACTTCTGGACCATCGTAAAAAAAAAAAAGAGAAGAAAAGTGGAAAGAGGTTATTGAGTTATATCATTGAAAATAACCCATTTCTTTGTTCTTGTTTTTTATTGAATGTTTTTATCATTCAACTTTTGATTACGTCAGGTCGTTTTTTTTTTTTTTTTTAGATTGCTTTTCCACAGTGACGAAAAACGTTAAAAATGAATTTTTTTTTTTTTTTTTGTTGTTATCAATATCTTCTTTTCAACGAACGAACGCTCATAAAGTTTTTTTTTTTTTTTTTTTTTTTTTTTTTTTAAACAACCTTGTTATCGATAAAATTGGATTAACATTTTTTACAATTTAAAACATCCTTTTTTTTTTTTTTAATATTTGAAAAAAAAAAAATATATATAAACAAAAAAAAACATTTTTAACTCATTTTCTTTTAACCAATATATATAACATTATTATTAAGAGAAAGAAAAATTTATAATATAATAATAATAAAATTTAAAATTTCAATTTTTTTATTTTTTATTATATAAGAAAATCTCGATGTTGCCCCTTAAAAAAACAATTTTTTTTTTTTTTAACGGAAAAAAAACCGGATATACATACTGTCGCATTACTAAATTAAATTTTTACTAGTTTTTCATGAGAAAAAAAAGGTTCGTTCGCAATT